AGATGTGTATAAGAGACAAGCTCTGGCGTCTATAGCCTTTTATAAGTCATATCTAATTAATCTAGCTTATGGAATGCAATTAAAATTTATTTCCACACTACATTTTCAAAATACAATGGCGGGTCCAGGAATTCAAAGGGCCCCAGGGAGGGAATTTTACAGATGGAGTGTAGACCATCTCAGTGCGACTACACTAATTGTGAGTGGAAATACTACCGTCTAACTTAAGGTCAAACAGGACTATTAGGAGATAGGAAGCACATAAAACATACAGGGTGATTTACTTAATTTATCATTATCATGATCCAGCGTTACGCCACTGAGCATGAACTATAGCTGTTCTAGCAGGGTACACAACATTCCGGTAATGCCGGTAAAAACCCCGTTCTTAGGTCTCGTCTTTTGGCCTTTTTTACGTCCTGGTTTGTGAAATCGTTGGAAAAAATCGGCGCTGGAGATACAGCGTAACGTTGTGTTCAAAATTTGTGAGTGGTAAAATAATGGAGTACTCCTTTTGCCTACTGCTGTGATCGCCACTGAGCTGATGGGTACATATTTTTTTCTCTTTCCTCCCTTTAACTCTTCTCATTTTGTTTTCTCCCTCTTTTATTTTTCGGTGGGATTGACGGGAAGGTGAACGGGGTCCCTGTGGCCCCTCGCTGGATCCGCCCCTGCATGATGTCATGGCGAGATTGCGTCAAGTAACATCGGAGTTCGTAAACTTTTGGTATCACTACTTAAATAAGTCGAAATAGACAGACCTATCCGTTGGTATATATATAATGCTGTATAATTATTGTTTATAACGGCTATATAAAATTCAATTTACTAATTTTTTTTTTTGAAATTAGGAAAAACAGGAATTTGTGTATGCAGATAATATTTAACACTAATATAATATACGGGCCTTAATTATATACAAAAGGAATAAATCGTTTATAGTAAAAATGTTGGCCTGATAGGTCTACACGCTTCCTATTTTAACAAAATACAGTACATTGCTTTCATAATAAATGTAGCCTCTGATAACCGGTGCATCCATAAATTGATAGTGTGGTTACCGAGATGGTTACAAAACGTACAAACAATTGCTTTTTTACTCAGTATTGGTCAGTGGCGTATCTAGCAGTAAAGGGGGGGGGGGGCTGTCGGGGCGCGACCAAAATATGAAGGGGCTTGGAATTTATTTTCGATGGCCACGCCCACTAAAAAATATTGCTTCTTAGATTCCCGAATACACGTTAACCGTGACAGCATAAGCATA